TTTAACTTGTTTCGGCTGGCGGGGTTCTGCATTCAGTGCATCTTTTATTTTCTTCAGGATGACACGAAGTGGCATTTTACTTGGCTTGAACAAGATTATGATTCTGCGCCAATTCTTGCAGACGCCTAAGCCACTCTTCTTTGGCAGCTTGACAAGACCGCCTTTCTTCCAATCAGTAGGTACCTTTCCTTCTTTCCAAACATTTTGTATTAGTGGTGTCAGCATATCCGGTGCGGTCTATGAACCCATCTGCAGTGCTTCATAGGGAATTCTGTCTGGTCCTACTGCCTTCCTGGCTGGCTCTCATTAGTTTGGTTGCATTCAAGATTTCCGCTTTTGTTGGAGGATTGGTGTCCACTAGTAGGCAGTTCTGTGAGTGCTATTGGTGGTATTTCTGCAGGAGTTGCAGGTGATAGTCGATTTGAGATTCCTTTGAAGTGGTCATCCCACTGTCTTATTTGTTTCTGCTCCTTGATAATCAGCTTCTCTTGAACATTTTTATTGGTTTCACCGGCGTTGATCTCTTTCCGGATGGAAACCTGGTTATCTGATGTAATTTTCTGTGGTCTGTTTCACCTGCGGCCTTCCAGTTCCGCTTCAGTTGCAAGTGTGTCGCAGAATTGTCTTTTGTCTTTCCCAGCACTTTTCTGCACTTTTTTACTCAGTGCGATGTAAAGTGAAATCAGATTCTCCTGTTATCAATCTTTGCATTGAGTTACCTTCTCTTTCACCATCCTCCTCTCCTCTACGTAGCTTCTAGGTATCCGTTGAGAGCCATTTCCTGTCTTGTCTCTTCTTTCTTCCTAGAACAGTTGTATACGTTTCCTTGAACGTCGCCTTCGGAGAGTTCCAATTTTCTTCCACACAGGCTTCCCCATTGATGCCACTTATTGTCTACGACTTTGCTTCGAAAGCTGCAGTGAAAGTATATGTTGTAAGCTCAGGCTTCAGCTCCTGAGTGGTGAGTTTTGAACTTGAATTGTGGTCTGTCTCCGGTGGCTTTGAAGGCTTTCAGCTTCACCTTGAAGGTTCTTTGAAATAGATGATGGTCTGAGTCCACATCTGCTCCCTTCCACGACTTTGCATCCAGCAGGCTGAGTCTCAACTCCCTTGAGATTGATATGAAATCTATCTGACTTTCGGTGTGTCCATCAGGCGAAATCCATGTAGCCTTGTGTATTTCCTTGTGCTTGTAAAGGCTGCCTTCGATCGCAAAATAATTAAAAGAGCAGAAGTCTGAGAAAAGTTCTCTTTTATCATTCATTCCGCCGAATGACGGCCTCCTGTATTGTCTACTTACAATTTAGCACTACTTTCGTCCATTAGGATTTCGATTCCGCCATTCGTCATGTTGTCCATTAGTGTTTGCAGTTTTCTGTAGAAATTTTCTTTCTTTTCTTGTTCCGAGTTGTTTGTAGGCGCGTATCATCGGATAATAATGATCTTCCTTCCTTTTGAGTTGAAACCTGCCATCATAATCTCGGATGAAATTGGTTCCAACAACGTAAGAGCTTTAGCTGCTGTTGGTGGAATCATGATAGCCACTCTCTCAGAGTGCTCATGCCTGTCATCTGGGTGACTGGAGTAGATTACTGACTCTCCACTTCACAGTTTTGGCAGTCTACATCCACTTCCACTGCTTTCTCAGATTCCTAACACTTCTATACCATATCTTCTCATTTCTTTGGCAATTTGAACAGCCTTCTCAGCTTTGAACATTGTGCGAACACTTTGTGTCCCAACGCTTGTTTTTCCTTTCATTGATGGAAGACACATTGGCAGGCTGAGTGGCTTCCGTAAGGCTTTCACCAGTCAGCGTCACTTCGTCTCTCCGATTCCAGAGTAAAATAAGTTTTTAAAAAATCTTTTGCATCTTTAACTTTTTCTTGTACTTTGAAGTTTCCGTGGCAGTTTGATTGATCTTCCGGGGTCAGGTCGCTAGCCCACGCCCAACCCTTCTTCTTTTCTCTGGCTTAGAACAGGCTGGAAAACTAGCGAGCTAGTAAACTTAGCGAGGTTAAGCTTCCATTCACACGCCAGAAAGGTGGAATCGAACTGCTCTGAATCTAGTGGGCTGCTGGTTTGAAGCCTGTGCTCCGGGACACCGAGGGTCATCCTTGTATTTTGTAATTTACATTTTCTTAAAATTACTACCTAGAAAATCCCAAATTTTTCTCATTATCTAAGTTTGAAATAACGTACTTACGGAGAAGGCGAAACTAACTAGTAGCAGCGGACTCAGTGTATCAGTAGTTGACTGAGAGAATTTAGTCCGCACTAAACAAAGGGCTAGACACACGACACTAGTTACTTACTACCTAGTGTTCAATCAAACTATCTAATACAGTCCTACATGAGATTAATCACGAGCCCCAATAAGTCAGTGGTAACATCTTTTAATGCACTCTAGGACAGCTTCAAATCCCAAAAGAGATGAATTCCTTCCAGATTCCAAATACACCTCTCTGAGTGGTGAGCTTCAACAAGTATGAAACCTAGATTTGCCAAGGCTTCCTACCGATTATCTACTAACCATCTAATAACAGAGATTTATTTCTTCCCTTTCCAAGTGGAATATATGGCTACAAGCTTCAGCTTTGGAGTTTTCACTGCTGTGGTGTTATGAATTTTACGGTATGGTGTTGCTAGCCCCACATCCAACCTTCCCTCTCTATCAGGCTTACTAGCGGACTAGTGGGGTCTAGTGATGCATCAACCAGAGAATTGAACGCTTGACCACGTGTGCCTAGCTGGAGAGTTCAACGTATCAACGACAGTGGCACAATAATTATCTAATCTCCATTTCTACGATTAAAAATATTTTAAAAATTCCCACTGATATAATTATAGAACACCTTTGAAGTAAGCAAACACGTATTTGCGTCAAGTTCTCATCAGACTTTACAGCTACATAATAAAGTATTAGTCATAGGTACTTGAAACAGTGTGGATCAATAGAATCCTATATAATCGGGGAGAGTGTAAGTAAAAATTACGGAAATGATCATAAGAATAGTAAGTTGCAACTCTAAAATAGTATGACACTGATAATCAAGATGGAGGTACAAATAAAAATAAAATAATATATACAGCTTTATGATGTCACCGGAGTAACTATTCTAGGATAAGATTGAAGGCCATGGGAGGGAGAGAGATTGAACAAACTTCTCCTGAAAACAAAGACTGCTGTGAAAAATGATTATGACAACTGCCGTACTCATGCTTATCAATTGGAGGCATACCAACTTCAGGATTAGAGGTGTCACCATCTGATGTCCATCTGATGTTTGGCATTATTGCAAGACTAACAGAAACGACATTATTGCCAACTTTTGTTTGAGAGGACATCAAAAGTTCAGTGGTAAAATGCTCAACAGTCACTCTAGAGGCATGGATTCGAATCCCGGTTAAAAAAAGTTGGGCATTATGGTAGCAACTCTACCCTATAAAAGAGATACCACCGCTAATAAAGCGTTAAATGCTTGAAGTTCTGCCTCTGATTTAGAAACCAAGGAATAAAATGTAAGGAGACGTTTCCTGAAGAAACCTAACCTCTAACCTTACCATTTCGCTTAATGGCATCAGCATGCATGGTTTACATATCCTGCTTTTATCTCAAACAGTATCTTGTTCAGAATATGTCAAAGATATAGAATTATATTGTGTTTTAGTGATCTAAATTGCTGAAAAACTGGATCGGCTGAGTTTTCCACCAGTTTTTCTGAATTGATTGGCTTGACTACTGTCAGTTCTCTGAGGATGTTTAGCTGAAGGCTATTTTATAATTTTTGACTCACACATTACAGTGAATGATATTGCTATATCATTCATTATACAGGTGATTTTATTGTACTTATCATATCATTATTGAGGTTTCGTACCAATAATATAACTGTTACTGATTAGGTTATCTTTTAGTTGATTGAAACGTTTTTCGTTTACTACAGTTTTATCTGTTTCGTATTGTTGATACAGATCACGTTCTACCGCACAAACGATTCATTTTAGCTTTCTGTATATTAGAGTGCAAATACGACAATTTACAATTTATAAAGTTCGAGATGGTGACATTCCACCATAGTTTTCCTAGGAGGCAAAAATTATTAAGCTGGCAATATGTGACCTGCTTGATATCACAAATGCTAATCAAGAAAGGAAGTATATTTTCAAAAAGCTATATACTACTCACTCATTGATATGAGTAGCTGAGAGCCATTTACATCAACCAGCTAGTAGTGTTTGCTAGCCAGATCGGAATTATCAAAACACTTACTAGCTATTCCACTCATCTGAAACCTATCACATCAGCTGCGTACCCTGTTTTGACCCAGCTGACAGAGCCGAACCAATTTTATCACCTGAATTCCGCTTAGCTACCCAAGAGAAATGATAACACACAGAATGATATTTGGAATTTGAAAATTATACAGTTTGAAGAGAAATTCCATTGCAGTTTTCTTCTTAAATGGAAAGTTTTTATTTAAAAGTATGTGATCGTCTTGATAACATGCAGGGCTCAATGGGCTTGCTAGAAATCGGGTGGTTTTAAATGCCTCAACTCTTCAAAATGAGTCAAACTAAGTTAGCTGATCAGCGAAACGGACGTGTCTAGTTTTAGATTGTTTTGATCTTGTCAGAAAGCACCACTGGTTGATTTGAGTGATATCCTACTACTCAATCTCTCATAAAATTCACTATCCTTATCAAAATATGGTCGTTTTTTCAGCAAAATCCAAGTGCATCGAAGGGAATTACAAAGATCACTTTGTAGTTTACTTAACTCAAAATGTTCCTGCATGAATGTAATTTGCAAAAGTCAAAACGAATTTTAAAGACATTTCAGTTTTGCTCAACCTAAGTAAATTTTATTTCAATGAACATTGAACAGAGTGTTTTAATGATACAATGTCCTTTTCTACTATAACTATCTTAATGTCCTATTGTTTGAAAAGAAAATTATGTATTGATTTTTCCTTTTTTTAATATATCTTTTTAACTAGTTGTTCGCCGAGACAGTCTTAAAGGTCGTCGAGGTCGTTTGTCATCTAAAGCAAGATGTCAGTTGAATGAACATGGTGGAATAGCCAATTGTTATGGAGATGGTAATATGAATAAAAGTTTACTACCCTTACATAACTTTCTTCATAAACGAAATAGTATATCACCAAATGTAACATCAATCAATGGAAAACGATATTCAGGTTCTAATGTACCAGTAAATAGTACGACCAGAACAAACACGTGTACTGTTAATTCAACTGTCACACTGTTATCAATGTTAAGCAGAGCATATGAAATTGTAGGTCCAAGAAATCATTCTATCCTCATCAATACTGATAACAGTCTTGCTAAAGATAGTGAAGAAACAAAAGAAAATGGTAATTCACTTGGTGCTGGAGAAGAGTTGAACCGCGCTTCACCAGATGATATGCAGGTGAGTTAAAGTAATAGTTTCCGTCTTCACATAAATATTTATTTCATTTCTTCCTCCCACTTTTGCTCTATAACATTGCACTTTTTACAGAAGGAAATGTCCAATAAAGTGGAACATTTTTCTCGTTTACTATCTATTTTATGCTCGATTTCCGGTTTATAAATATATACAGAGATAGAGGAAACATTAGTGCAGAATAATATAGGTCCATTTTATTTCGTCGGCTCTTGTCAGCTGCGTGCAATCTATAACATTTAGCAAAACAATTTTTACAAAGAAAGTGTTTAACATCTGCAGTCAACCTTCCTAGTAAAAAAGTCATTGTGAAACAGAACATAAGAATGATGAGTTTGCCTTAAATTATGAGTATATACGTATATTGCGAAACAGTTAGGTTTCTCATTGATATAAGTATAAAACTTGGGCACTGTGGTAGAGTATAATTCCATAATGGATAAGATTTTATTTTGATAAATCACACAGTGTAGTACAGTTATATTAACTGATGACGTTTCGAGCACAAACTATTGCTCATAATCATATCAAGTACTTGATATGATTATGAGCAATAGTTTGTGCTCGAAACGTCATCAGTTAATATAACTGTACTACACTGTGTGATTTATCAAAATAAAATCTTATCCATTATGGAGTTAGGTTTCTCATAAAAATGAACAGATCTGTTCTGAGAATGATGCCAAATCAGTGGTAGTTGAGCGTTCAGAGATACTCAAGGTTCAAAAATCAGGGTAATTGGAGTCCCAAGACAGATTTTAAAAAAAACATAGGTTTTCAGCTATTTTTCTGCAATAGCTTCAGCAAACTGAGAAAGACTTGGACTGTTTTGTCAGCTAATTATTTTGGATGCTCCTTTTGAACCCACTCGGTGTTCAGGGCCTCCACGTATCCTGCTCCCACAGTTGCACCAGGAGGGATAAACACAGTTGCAGGTAAAATGTGAAGGGATGCTTGTCGAGTTTTAACTACGCCAGCAAGCGAGATATTTGGAGTTGAGAGACCAGTTTTGCCTCAGAATATGTCCCAGTCAATGCTGTACTTAGGCGTTTGTTTATCTTTCTCATAACACCAACGTTTTTGAAATTTAGTTGAATGAAAATGTGTTTCTTGCTGAGTGTAAATATATCTAGTTTTCTGTATGTTCTTTCTTGTCATATTAGTTGTTTAAACTTTATGCGTAGCCGCTTTCAGGCATTTCTCAGGTAAAGTAAGTTCACTGTCAAATTTATCTGCTGAACATGATCGTTTCATTCTACAGAACAGTGACTTAAACAAATGACTGGGCAGAAGCTGCTGCAATTTGAGTATAGACCGTTTCTTCTGCCCCTCTAAACATCTGAATAAGAATCTGTTCGTTCAGGAATTTTCCGGCTGAATACTTCATGTTCTTATCTGTTTTTAATACTAGCTTCATTTATTGGAAAATGAATATGCACTGAACACTATTTCATGAAACGTGACAATGAGGGAATTATTTACACATCAGAAGTACTCCTAGTTATCTTAGAAAATACCCAACAGCAAGGTGGCTTTTGGAATATTTTCGTTTAGTTATATTCGCAGAATTCCTGGCGTATAGCTGATCCTCTCCTTGCCATTCGCAATAGTTTTAGTGCTTTTTAACATCAGTCTAATGAGGTGTATATATCTAACAAATCTAAACTGAAACAACTCACTTTTCACTACACTTCCAGCTGGAATTCATGATCAGCAGAGTACACTCCAGGCTGGGCGTGAGGACAGGTACCTACTGATGACATTGGATGATGCTTAGGGAATTGGTGGAAGTTTGAGTTGACTGGCAACTGGATTTCGTCCCAGTTTCTGAGTGGTATATGAGTTCACTTTGTAACCTGAAGATCCCGAATTCAATCCCCGATGGCGTTACGGGTGCACACTGCTGAAAGCCCCAAACTATGACAAAACAGCCATCCACTACTCCATAGTTTAGAATGGCTGTTTGACTGAAGTCAGTTCTTGATCAAAACTGAGATTTTAGTTTGAGCTAAATCACTCAGAATAAATCATGATGCGTTTCCTCTTTAACCGAACACAACGATCATTTTTGATTACTTTGATCTAACTAGCGAACATTACTGCCTAGAATGGTGGCCACATTAAAAACCTGACTGATAGAATTCAGTCCACACCAAAAAAAGGACTAGACACATCACACTAGTTACTAGTGTCCAGTCAAAATATCTACTACAGTCCTACAGGAGGTCAATCGCTAGCCCGAATAGGTCAGTGGTAACTTCTCTGACTGCAGCACTGGGTGACGCGGGTTCGAATCTCAGAAGGGGCATGAGTTCCTTCAAGGTTGCAGATACGCCTTGCTGACTGGTGAGTGTCAAAAAGCATGAAACCTAGGTCCAAGGCTTCCTGCCGATTGCCTCCAACCATCTAATATCATCGAATTACCGTTTTAAGTCAGTGGCTAGCAGATATTCATATCTGCTATATAGTATATAGTATCTTACAATTATTATTATCATTATTTAAACCAAACTTTAAACAAACTTTTATCGGTTTCAGTGTGTTTCAGCGCTTTATACTCCATGGGTATGGCAACTTAAAATATTTTATGCAGAAAAATTTGAACTAAATTCACCGTTGATTCATCTCATGCTGGTATAATTCATGCTTGACTACTTACTTAGCGATGACCACACGAGTTTACTGAATTATAAAAGTAATAAATAAATTAATTAATATCACCTGCTGTGTTGCCAAAACTTTAGTAATCTGATCCTTAAATAAAAAAAGAAAATCTATTGGTAATAATAAAATGTAGGACTAAATAACTTGGTTGATTATTGTTAGTTATTGTTGTTATCACTAGTGCTGATGATGGCGTTGATGATGTTACTTGATTATAATGAGGTGTTTCAGATATTAAGGTTAAATAAATAACTAAACTACTAGTCAATCAATGTGGTATTATTTTGCACTGTGTTCTTATCACTGGCGTCCTTTGATGCCTGATGAACACTTACTGGTATCACCTATATAATAGATAAATTAGAACAAATCAACCAAGATAAAATTTGTGCTAGTAATCGAATGAACAGTAAATGAACACTTGTGATGAATAAGCCTTGGTTATTCGTGAAATTACCCATTGAAGGAATTATCAAGTTATTATTATTATAATTCCCTTGGTTTCCCAGTAAAACGTAGGGTTTCAACAGAATATCTCCATTTGATCCGATTGTCTGCAGTCATCTTTAGCTGGCTAAGGGATAACCCATAAGATTTAATCTCCTCCTCACAAGATCTCCTCCATGTCACTGTTCGGCAGACACCCAGCTCGTTGTTTCCCATTCAGATTCCACTCAAGCGATGGTCTGAAGCAAGATTGCACTGAGCGGTCTACTCGGAGTGTGTCAAATCTATCTCAATTTCCGTCTGGATATCTGTAGGGCAACAGTTTCTTGGTTAAGTTGTCGGAGTTCAGTGTTGCTTTCTTATCTTTTCTGGATGGTCATTTCCTGTATTCACTATCGAGGCAGCAAAGGTAGCTGTCAATTAAAGTTTGAGGCCTGTTCGAAAATTTATTGAGTAAAATATATTGCATCAGTGGTTCAGCAGTTGAATTCCCACCACCTAAGCACTTGCTATGCGGTTAGATTCCCAGCCAATTTACTCCTACGACTCATCTATCCCGGTAGCAAGCCCTGTAATGACGGAACGTAGGCCTTGAGGCTAGCATTTATTTATTTTAATTTATTTTATTATAGCTTGATTCCACACAGTGTTCTGGTACAAGTATGAAATTTTCAGCATGTGATATCGGTAGCCCAAATTTAGCAGGCCGACCATAGATATCAGGTGTGTGCCGGCGGGGGATTGAACCTCAGACCATGTGCATGATCGGCGAGAGTCCTAACCGCTGTCCCACCACCGTAAAAAGCTTCAAAACCACAAGCCTGAAACACTATTTTCTATTCGGAAAACACAAAATGAAAAAGTGAAATATTCAGAAATCACTATCCAAGTGAAAATGTACATCACTGGCTTAGGCACTTGATTTTAAGCCAAATGGTCATGTGTTCGAGCCTCACTCCTCCTAAGTCCTCGTGGACACCTGCTTAGTATCATTAAGCCTGACACAATAGGTGTGTTCGATATATCGGTCCTGGTTACTCGCTTTCAAATAATTGAACCAGGTTGAAAGTACACCGAATGATAACCTCAGTTTGTGAACATTAAATTTAGAGGACCGAAATGTTGCGTGTAGTCAACGACGGCACTGACAAAATACATTCTTTTCATAAAATCTTAGAACAAGACATTTGATGATTTATGGGAACTGCTGAATAAGTCAAGGAATTTTCCACAAAAACGTGGGTTTATGGAAACGTCCTACTTCACAGTGATCGCAGAATGTCACTGCGACGTCTTGATAAATTTCCTACTTAATACCTTCCATATTTATCTTCTAAATTGACTGCTTTACTTTACATCGTATGTTAACCTGTTTCTCCTAGTTAATTTTCATGGTGTATATTGTGAAAACGAGACAGTTAACAAATTCCAAAAAGGTGGAGAACATCTTTGGCCCAGATGTATGTTTTCAGTGTGTTTGTGTTTTCCTAACGGAATGGTAGAAGTACGGAGCATCTATTGTCTTCCAGGATAGTATATTCAGTACTAAATTCAATGTAAAGTAGGCTGTTTAGTTCACATAGAAGATCACATACAAATTTCTCTTCTATAAATCTGAATAGAGACAGAAGAAAGATTGATGCAGAATAATATGGATACACTCTATTTCGTCGCTTCTTGTCAGCTGCGTAAACCAGATAATATTTAATAAAATCAGTTATAATACAATTTCGGTGGACTTGATTACGCATCAGACTGTACGTGGGAGGGAAGAGACAGGAATACACTGGACCACCAGTGTAAGGTCAATCAGTTCTTTAAATGGGCCAGAAACTTAGCCAGTTGGATACAAAAAACATTTCGAACAAACTACA